ATAATATATTATAAGTAGAATTATCAGTTAGTAATTAGTTATTTCAAAAATATATAGGATTAAGAAAATTTCAAATCATAATAATTAATATATATTATTAAATAATAATTAAATTACTTAATTTTATTAATTAATTAAATGATTATATGAGATAATTAATAATATTTTAAATAAACAAATGATATAATGAAGACTAAATTAAATTAAAAATCCTTTAAAATGTTGATCTATTAATAATTAAACTAATTAAATAATATTTAAAAATTAATGAAATTATTAGTAGGATTATTAGTTATTTAAAAAATAACTAATTAATTAGATACTTATTAATATAATTAGAATATCAAATACTTAATTAGTTAACAGCATATACAGAGTAATTTATAATAATATTATAATTAATAATTTAATATTAAGGCTAATTTCTAATTAATGTTATTTATAATTATAAATTTTTAACTATAATTATATAAATACTAATAAGTAACATATACTGTAATATGTTTTATATTCATAACACATTAAATTTAATTTTTAAATGAACCAACGTCTTAAATCTTGAATTATGTTGGCAAATATTTTGTTTATGGATTTTAAAAAGGATTTAACAACCTATTTATCCAAAAAGTTTTCCTTGATTTACATGCACGAGATTTATTATAATCCTGCTATTTACATGATTATTAAATTCTACAAAAAGATAAATCCTTACTTTTTACCAATAACCCCTAGGCTTCAATTCAAAAGCATAAAACATGAGAAGTCTAAGAATATCAAACCCTATAAAACAGACACAGGTAAATAAAAATGAATGAATGAGATCGAGAAAAGCAGTAGATTAATTAAATAATTACATAGTTTTCTTAGTAAGTATAATTAAATAAGTCTTAAATTTAATTTAATTGAATAATTAGTAGTATATTATCATTAAATTTAGTTTAATTAATATTTATTTATTGATTATTAATACTATTAGTACTATAATTGTCATTAGATTAGTTTTAATTTTCACTAATGCAAATAAATCATTAGATAATTATTAGTGAAATACTTAATATTTTTAAAAATAAAGTAACTAATAATATTTATTTGTCATGTTGTTCTTTAATTTATTGATTTTTTTAGTTATATTGAATGAATTTCATGTTGATTTTTACGTTGTAAATGTAAATTATTTGAAATTTATATATTATCTTCTTCACATTAAATCCTAAAGTTGTTATATAATCCTAAAATATTTTACTAAACAATTTCTCCGGATTTAGCATTTGTCATATCAAATCAGTTATTGAGGATTTAAAACATCAGATTTTACTAAATCCCACTAAAGTTAAAATCCCTTGTTGCCAAACCAGTCTTGGAGAATAACCGATGTTGATGACTCAATTATGCTTGAAGTGCAGATGACGTTGGAAGAATGTGTTGTGGTTTTCCATTGATTGCTGATGCTAATGGTCGAATGCGAAAGGAGGTGGCACCTCAACAATCCAATACTGCTACAACTAGGCCGTTGGGTGGAGAGAGAGAGAGAGAGAGAGAGAGAGAGAGAGAGAGAGATAGTTCTCTAACAAAAGAATAAATGAAGAGATCAACCATAATTCTGTTGTGGACAAAAACTATTTGGTGCGTCAATGATACTTAGAAAGGGTTTATCGATTATGGGGGATTCTCATACATATCATATAATTATTACATATTTCTATCTCTAATAGTATATTAGTTTTTTATTTTTTATAGAATGTTTTATTTTATTTTAATCATATTGAAATATATGTATAAAAAAATATTGAATTTAAATTAATATTTTTAAAATTTAAAATAAAAATTAGATGTTAAATATATAAATGAATAAAAATTATTTGAGAATGTAAATGCCAGTTGATTTTTTATATCTAATATTCTGCATATTTGAATAAATATATTTTTTATTTGATCGAATATGTATAAAAATTATTATTATGCATAAATATCTTTATATTAAAATACGTGCAATATTTTTTATTTATATGCCTTTTTGTCATATCATTTTTTTAAAACTTTACACAAGCACTCTCACTGTCTCACACAATCCCTTCCAACATTATAAAAAAGATTAATGTTAATGCATTTGTTATTAAGATTAGAATGCATCCACCATCCCTTCCAAACAGCGATGATCCTCTTAAGTTATTATAGGAAGGAGATTGCTTTAAGAGAGAGTGAACCAAAAAAGGTCTTATAATGCTTACAAATATAGGAGGATATGTTTTATAATCTATAATATTGATGAAATATTTTGGCGAAGAAATATTTTTCTCTTTTGCTTGGTGATTAATGATTTCAACTCTAAGCCTTTCTTTGGCGAGCTAGCCAACTATCTTGTTAATTACCCCTTGAGTTTTGTTTATTAATATTCTCAAATACCTACTACAAATCATACTTAGATCCTCCTCCACATCCTTTGCATCCTTCAAAACTAACCACTCATCATCCAAAGCCACATAGCCACTCCAAACCTCTTCCTATAGCTCTTAACCAAAATAGAGAGCACTACTTCTAATCTTATTCCCTACACGAAACCATCCACTTAAATGCCATCAAACTCAGTATACTCTCTATATCATAAGTTTGCATTTTAATCAATCATTTACATCATTGGAAATTCATTCCCTAAGACCAAATCCGCATAAACTAGTCTAAGTTGTAGCATTCCTTCCGCCAAATCCATTTAAACCCATGACATTTTCACCACAAACTCCAAATCCATTTTAAAGTATTAACATTATGATTTATAGTCATTTTCATCTATTAATATCACCAAAAGGTCACTCACCACCTTTATAGTTTATATTAGAGCAAATATATGAATAAGCAAATTTGGTAAAAATATTTGGACAAGAAAGACAAATTTTCTATTGATGGACTTGCCTCCAAAAAGCTTATGAGTATTATAATAAATATGGATATTTAGTATGGTACTTCTAAGTCTATGATGCAAGCAAAAAATCCAAGTGAGCTTCATCATAAAGTCTGACTAATATCCATTGTATGAAACTATTATTAAACTTCATCTTCAGTGAAAATCGTGATAAGGAATTACTCAACTTTAAGAAAACAAAATTTTACCTTAATGCAAATAAACTTCATGTAATCAGTTTAATTTTTCATGTTAATTATTTATGATAAAATTATTAGTTTACTAGTCAAAATTAGAAATAATTTTTAATCTTAAAGACGACTTCATAAAAAAAAATGACTTTGTAAAAAGGCCTAACATCCTAATTAGAACTTGGGACATAAGAGATTTTTGTAACCCCCTGACTTCTCATGAGAAAATTCTTTTTAATTAAAATTAACTTTATTTCAATATTTATATCTTAACTTTCTGTCTCTCTCATCTCCCTCGTCATATTTTTAAAATTATATAATGTAACCAAAATTAAATTCATAAGATAAGTTTAAGAACTTGATAAGAATAATTGACTCCTTAGATCATAGAATTCTTGAAAATAAAATAATGTTCAAATAATTATTTGAAGAGAGTGGAACTCAAATATGAAGCTGAAAGATCATATATAAACTATAATGAATCAATTGTAAAATAATAAAAACCCTACCCAGCTCCTACCTAAAATCATAATAATTCCTTATTATAACAAATATAGGATTAACAAAATAGGAGACAACCCAACTCTAAGAATGGAGGTAAGAGTGAGAACCATCATAGGAATGTGATGATTTTAATGATCTCTCTAAGGGTGTTAAAGTTAAAGCCCCCATCTATGATGAAACCCATGATCAAACTAAGTTTATAGATTGGTTAGTACAAATGTATAATGTTATTTACTAAATATGTGGATGACTACTAAAGAGTTATATTTGCCAAAATAAAATTGAATAAATATAACAAATTTTATTAGAGATACATTAGTGAAAGAACGAATGCTAGGAAGAATCATAATTATTTGGATTGAGATGAGTTGGTGTTACGAACCAAATAATATCACTACAAGAAAATCAGGGTTTATCGGCAGTTATATAACGATCAGAATTACCGGATACACCATCAAAATTAGCAGCGGTATAATAACCCCCGGCTAGGCCGCCGATTTTCTATTTTTGCGACGCCTTTACTGGCGGCCAAGCTGTAGGTGTAAAATAATTTTTCTCGACGATCTAAACCGCAGGAAAACTCAGAAATTACCCTAATATTGACCAAACCGAGCCTTCTTCTTCATTTTTTTCGCGTATCCATTTTTGCAGACACTCACTCACGATCGCGCCTCTAACTGCCTCCACAGGAATTCCGTCGCCGACACCCTATCTCCGACCGATGATCTCGCCCTCACTCCAGCCAACGATCTCGCCCGCATTCTACCGCTGAAAGCTATTGATCGGCAACACCCCAAATCGAAGGTTTGCATTTTTTTTTTTTCTTTTACTAATGTGTCATACTTTAAAACTATGGGATAGAGTTATAGAGCATAGATTGCAGCGTGATGCTAATGTTTCGCAAAATCAATTTGGATTCATGCAAGATAGGTCAACTATGGAAGCTATGCATTTTTTTAATTATGTTTGATGCATGGAGAAGTATATCGAGGATAAGGAGGATCTACACATTATATTTATTAATTTAATGAAAGTATGTGATA